GGATTTGTGAATTGTAGGCTGGTATTTCTTTGCTTTATTTATAAAACTTACTTCTGAATGAGCACATAGGACATTTGTCTTTCTGGCTCTGGGTTACCTCACTCAAAATTATGTTTTCAAGATCCATCTGTTTGCATGTAAATTTTGAGATGTCCCTGTTCTTTTTTCTGCTGTGTAGTACTCCAAAGTATAAATGTACCACATTTTCCTTATCCTTTCTTCAGTCAAAGGACATTTAGGTTGTTTCCAGGTTCTGGTTAAGACAAACAATGCTTCTAAGAACATAGTTGAGCACATGTCCTTGTGGTACAATTGAGCATCCTTTGCCTATATACCAAAAGTGGTATTACTGGGTCTTGAGGTATGTTGTCTCCTAATTTTCTGAGAAATTGCCATACAGATATCCAAAGGGGCTGGACCAGTTTGCACTCCCACCAGCAATAGAGGAGTGGTCCCTTTACTCCATATCCACTCCAGCACAAGTTGTCATCACAGTTTTTGATCTTGGCCATTCTTACTGGTGTATGATGAAATATCAGAGTTGTTTTTATTTGCATTTCTCTGAGGGCTAAGGATGTTGAGAATTTTCTTAAGTATCTTTTTAGTCATTTCAGATTCTTCTATTGTGAGTTCTCTGTTTAGGTATGTTCTCCATTTTTTCTTTTAGAGTATTTGTTCTTTTGATGACCAATTCATTGAGTTCTTTTTTATATTTTGGAGATCAACCTTCTGTCTGATGAGGGGTTGGTGAAGACATTTTCCCATTCTATAGGGTGCTGTGTAGTCTTGTTGACTGTGTCCTGTGCCTTAAAAAAGCCTCTCAGTTTCAGGAGGTCCCATTTATTAATTTTTTTTGCAGTGACCATGCTACTGGGGTTACCTTTAGGAAGTGGCCTCCTATGCCAATGTGTTCAAGTGTACTTCCCATTTTCTCTTCTATGGGGTTCAATGTGGCTGTCTTTATGTTGAGATCTTTGATCCATTTGGACTTGATTTTTGTGCATGGTGATAGATATGGATCTATTTTCTTTCTTCTACATGTTGATTTCCAGTTATGTCAGCACCATTGATTCAATATGCTCTCTTTTTTTCATTTTATATTTTTTGTTGCTTTGTCAGAAATCAGGGATTCTTAAGTGTGTGGTTTGATATCCACATCTTCAGCTTGGTTCCATTGGTTCTGCTGCTTGTTTTTATGCCAATACCAGGGTGTTTTCGGTACTGTAGCTTTGTAGTACTGTTTGAAGACAGGGATTGTGATGCCTCCAGAAGTTCCTTTTTTGTACACGATTGTTTTGGCTATCCTGGCTTTTTTCTTTTCCATATGAAGTCGAATATTGTTCTCTCAAGGTCTGTGAAGAATTTTCCTGGTCTTTTAAGGGGCATGGCATTGAATACGTAGATTGCATCTGGTAAGATTGACATTTATACTATTTTAATTCTACCTACCCAAGAGCATAGAAGATCTGTCCACTTTCTGATATCTTCTTCCATTTCTTTCTTCAAAGACTTAAAGTTCTTGTCATACAGGTCTTCTACTTGTTTGGTTAGAGTTATTTTGGTTAGAGACATTTTACAAATACTGTAGCTCCATACCCAGCATCACTGGGCTTAGCTAGCCCCTCCCTCCCAGCTTTGCTCCCCACACCACACATCCCTCTTGTGCTCCACTCCTCTGTGCAGTTCTCGTTGGCAAACATCCACGGCTCCAGTAAGTCTAACACCTGAGTGTCTCCATGCAACCCAGGCTTCAGTTTCACAGTTTCATGCAATGGCCTCTCAAGGTTTATAGCATTAGAAGTGTCTTTCTTACCATATACTACTACCTGGGCTCCTCAGCCCTCCTTTACCAAAGAAGGCTCCACAACCGCTTATCCAAGAACCTTGTGGATAACAGTTTCAAGTCTGGATGCCTCCTTGAATCATGATTGCAAGACTTTTCCTTTACTGTTGCTTTTTAGGAATAAAAAATTGTTTAGACCTTTCTTCTTACAAGTTGGGTGTTTCGCTGGGTTGGGTCTTGCCCTAAGGACACCCTCTCTTTATTCTAGTTGGATCAGGCCTTTCTTTATCTCCTTGTCTCATTCAGCACAAGCCTGGGTTCCAACATTAAATTCCTCTGGTGCCCCTTTTCTCCTCAAACATTTTGTATTAATCGTTATCCCACCTGCTCTTTTTATTGTATATTTACATAAGGATATCACTAGTTATCACATGAGAAAGTCAGTATTAGCCTGTCTTGAAATTGCTCTGCCAGAGAAATTGTTCTAGTGTTTCTATTGCTGTGAAGAGACAACATGACCTCCAACAAGGCCACACCTACTTTTTATAAACTTATGGGGGGTCAATTGCAAACAAACTACCACAGAACATAATCCCTTACTCTTCAGTTTAGCCTCAGGCAGGTTCTTGGTACAAGGGCAGAAGGCAGTCACATTCCTTATCAAATTATTACACAAATGGTCTCGATATCCTTGCTACTAATCTTGTCCCTCTCTGAAATCTCTTGAGGTGGACCCTCATGGTCCACAGCACTACTGCCACACTCCTACTAGGATGGCCCATTAAGCTCAGTAATCAACGTTCAACTGTTTTCCTCATCCAAAGCCCCGCTGTATTCTACATTCCTCCAAAATACAACAAGATTAGGTCTGTCAAGCTCTATCCCACTCCCTGGTACCAACTCCCATGTTAATTACTTTTACTTTATTATGATAAAACACCATGAGCAAAGGATGTCATAAAAACATTCAGTTGTGCTTATAGAGTCAAAGGGTTAGCATCCATGATGACAACAAAGACATGAATGGAAGGAACAGCTTAGAGTTCAGACCTTGTTCCACAGTCATAATGAGGAAATAGAGCACAGTTGTAATGGTGTGGGTTTTTCAAACCTCAAAGCCCACATCCAGTGACACAACTTCTCCACCAAGGCCACACTCCCAATCCTTCCCAAAAGCTTCCACTCACTGATGACAAAGTCATCAATCCTATAGGCCCACAGAGGCCATTCTCCCTCAAACCACCACAGGGCCTATCTTCGTCTGTGAGACCACAGAGGATTCTTAGATATTTGTTTGTTGTTGCAGGTAGGTGAGTCATATTGTTGATGCTGTGCCTCAGTTGCACCCATGTTAGAAGTCACAAAACTGAGTCCACCAATGCAGCTCACACACTTGCTCAAGGTCGCACAAGGAGAGGGCAAAACATGAAGTAAAATGAAAACAATTTGAATGCTATTATTTTCTCTCCTAGTTATTCCTGAAAGACACAAGTTTCATTTTTGGAAGACAAACCAAGTCCAGAAGATTGTCTCAGAAGGTAGGGTGGAACATTGGTTACCAACTGCTCTTCACAAGAATTTATTTCATTGTGGCTTCTACCCTGTGACTTAGCCCTCTGGAGGGAGCTAAGTTCTTGCTCAGCAAAAGTGAGTGTCTTTTTTTCTCAGTGCTACAACACTAACACAGGATATCTCAAACTTACCATATTCCAGGTTTCTAGTTTCAAGATAATTGTGCAAATCAGAAAAACAGAGGTGCTTTTGTGTTCATTACTTTTCTCATTGTTATGACCAAATACATAAAGAGAAATGACTTACAGGGTTGGGAGAGTTTACTTTGGATCCTGACTTGAGGTGATTCTCCTTTGCAGCAGGAATATATATACACCACTGGGAGCAGCTTGTAGCTGTGAAAGCAGGGTGTGAGGTTATTGCTCATATCCTGTGGACCAGGAAACAGAGAGAGGACAAGAAGTGGGCAGTGTCATAAACTCAACACTCATCCCCCAGGACTCACTTCTTGTAGCTCAGCCCCATCTCATAAAAGGTTCTACAACCTTTTCCAACAGCACTGTCAGCAGCTGACCAAGAGTTCAAACACATGAGCCTGCCAGGAACTCAACGTGTTAAGAGTTGCTTTTTTGAGCATGCTTAATTTGCACAGAGAAGTCTCTGGCCAGGTCTGTGCTTGCATGCAGAAAGCACAGGTTTTAGACCTACAGACTGTCTTGCTGCATTGTGATATTCTTTGTCATGGAGTCACCAGATCTCAGAGCTGAGGATCTTTTGGAAGATCTCGTTTCATCTACTGATGGACAAGGAGTTTGAATATCCTATCAGTGAAGGGATGCCAGTTTCCAGAGCTGGGACAAACATCTAGAATCACAAGGCTGTCAGCGTGGTACATGGGACAACATGGCGGATTGTCTTGTGTGCTTCACTGTTGTGGCATGGCCTCCAATTCTGTGTGCTGAAAGAATCAAGATAATTCTTTTTTTTGTTTTTCTTTTTTGCATTTTCTGTATGAGTGCTCTGTATGGATGCGTGAATGCCAGAGGAGGGCATCAGTCTCATTCTAGATGGTTGTAAGCCACCATGTGGTTGCTGGGAACTGAAATTGGGATCTCTGGAAGAGCAACTAATGCTCTTAACCTCAGAACCATCCTTCAAGCCCCTCCAGAGTTTTCTATACTGTGGATCTCTTCATCTACCTCACCTGCCTGGCATATCAACTCACATTTTTTAAAATTTAATTTTGAAATTGTATATATGTGTGGTTTGGTATAATGCAGTATGCATATATAATGTGTATTGTTTGCACAAATTCACAGTTCCATTTCCATAAGCATCTATTTGTCCTTTGGTACATATTGGGTAAAATTTAAAAGTTTTTAGTTTGCAAATATGAAAATTGTGTCTGCATGTTTGTCTGTGCACCACATGTGTGCATTACCCACAGAGGCCAGAAGAGGGCATCCGATCCACTGGACCAACAGATACAGGTGGTTGCTGACAGGAAGTGCTCCTAACCACTGAGTGGTTTTTCTAGCCCTGTCTAGGGAACTTTCAAATACTTCTCTGTTAGTACCTTATAAAGTATAAATTCTGGCCCTGGTGCTAGGTTTGGAACATCAGAACAGAGCTCTCTGATCTCCTTGTGTTTGCATATCTGTTACTCCACTCTCTCTCTTGGGAAGTTGGCAGTTTGTCTTTGTTCTTTCAGATGGACTTCAAGAAGGTGAGGCTTGTTTATGCTTTCATTCTGATGATGGGCGTTCTTTGCTTGTACTTCAGCATGGAGCCTTTCAAGACACAGCCATTTGTTCTCAAGAAAGGTCACGCGAAGTTCCTCCAGCTCCCAGATATTGACTGCAAGCAGAAGCCCCCTTTCCTTGTGCTGCTGGTGACTTCGTCCCACAAGCAGCTGGCTGCTCGCATGGCCATCCGCAAGACGTGGGGTAGAGAAACAGAGGTGCGGGGGCGGCGTGTGAAGACCCTCTTCCTCTTGGGGGCCTCAGACAGCATCAATGAGATGAATGCCACAGCCCAGGAGGGCAAGCAGCACCGTGACATCATCCAGAAGGATTTCAAGGACGACTACTACAACTTGACCCTGAAGACCATGATGGGCATGGAATGGGTCCACCACTTTTGTCCTCAGGCAGCTTTTGTGATGAAGACAGACTCAGACGTCTTTGTGAATGTTGGTTATCTGACTGACCTGCTGCTAAAAAAAAACAAAACCTCCAGGTTCTTCACGGGTTACATAATATCCAATAACCGCCCCTTCAGGGAGACATTCAGCAAGTGGTTTGTGAGTAAATTTGAATATCCCTGGGACAGGTACCCACCTTTTTGTTCTGGTACGGGTTATGTCTTTTCTAGTGATGTGGCCAGCAAAGTATACAGTGTCTCAGAGAGTGTCCCATTCCTCAAGCTGGAGGATGTGTTTGTTGGGCTCTGCCTGGCCAAGCTGAAGATACAGCCTGAGGAACTCCACACCAAACCAACTTTTTTTCCAGGAGGCTTATACTTCTCTGTGTGCCGCTTTCGTAAAATTGTGACCTGCCACTCTGTGACACCCCGGTACTTACTCATTTACTGGCAGATACTGGAGAACTCTCCGAAAAAGTATTGCCCTTCTTAATGTTGATGGTATCCACAGTGCAAACTTCCAATAACCTTTGACGATACTTTGTGAAGGTCTGGGATGGCCTTGCTGGGAACTGTCAGGGGTAGAGAGAGAAGGAGGAAGGCAAAGAGTGCTGTACTCAATGCCCTGTATGTACTAGAGTGGATATATACACATACAGGTCAAGACTCGTTCCCACTTGGCACCCAGAGCAATAACAGATCTCATCTATCAGGCTTTTGCACTATGTTCTCAATGTTTGAGACATGCCTTCATCTGCTCATATCAGGGCTCAGTATATATATGAAGCCATGGATGTGATCATTCCCATTTTACAGGTTAGGAGCCAGTAGCCATGGTCACTTACTTGTCCAAAGACTCCCAATCTGCAGACGGAGCAGGAATGAGAATTCAGTTGGTGGCCACAACTGAGTGTCCTATTCTTTGCCAGAGGGCAGTAGTGGAAGAAGCTTTGGATTGGGGTGTCTTAAAGAAAACCAGCATCCTTCAGGCTATTTCTGGTGTCCCCTGCCCCTCAATTCCAAATCCTACTTCTTTTTAAATGCTAAGTCTGGGATGAACCAGCTTTCTCAGCCCTCTCCCCTCACTTGAATGATGTAGCTAGGCAGTGAGTCTGTTAGGCACTGCATACTCGATGCATCTTCAACATGAGACATGCATGCCTGCAGACACTAGCTCACCTCCATGCTAGAAGGAAACTGGGTTATATGACCATATGAATCAACCTGAGAAGCCATTGGTGAGTCTTTCTATATAGGCTGATCACACTGCTGAAATCCTACTGAGGATGATGTCTCCTCTGAGCCTTTTGGGACACCTTGTCTCTGCTATGGATATCTTGATGGATTGATGGTGATCAGTTGCAGCTCTGGAGCACTTCAGACCTCTAAGTTCAAACTCAGGGGCAGCCAGGCACAGACATGGCCTGTATTGGTGTCCAGGAACTTTGCTGGACCCTGGACTGGTCCAAGCTCCTGGGATGCAGATCATGGATGTAGGCCCAGTCTGTTGTCGGGATTTTCTGTCCTGCCCGGTTCCCACAGTTGTTAAGTCCCAAAGAAATTACACAGAAGTCTACATTAGTTATAAACTGATTGGCTCATTAGCTCAGACTTCTTTTTAGCTCTTGTAACTTATATTAGCTCATTATTCCTGTCTGAGTTAACCACATTGCTCGGTACCTTTTTCAGTGAGGTAGTCACATCCTGCTTCTTCTATAGTGGGCTCAGGACTGCAGAGGAATGGGCTTTCCTCTTCCCAGAATTCTCTTGTTCTCATTGACTCACCTCTACTTCCTGTCTGGTTGTTCCACCTATTCTTCCTGTCTGGCTACTGGCCAATCAACATTTACTTAAAATATAATTGACAGAATTTAGACAATTTTCCCACACCATCAGTCAAAGGGTTCTCCCTGCATCTGTGATCCTTTCTGAACCTGGCTCTTCACACTGCATTTATCACATGGTTATAGATATGCTAAGTGTTTTGGTTTGTAATTTATCCCTGAAGGTTTTCAGATCTGGGTAAAAACAGGGGTTCATGGCCATTTGGCCAATGTCACCAGACACATAATCTTGCTTTGTATCATGGGAATTATTGATTCCCCCTGCCTTTTACTTTACTAGATTTTACTATATGCTTGGATCCAAGACTTCGTGTGACTGTGTGATTGTAAACATATGCTCTCATCTGAACTCAGGACAACTTACTCAAATCAGAACTGTTACTCCTCCAATTGGAGGAGACTGGAAGCTACCTCCAGGGCCTCATTTCCATACTTGTTCCTGTCTTCCTCTGAGTCCCTCCCATAACTCTTGGGGGAAAATTCTTCTGTCTGTGACATTCTTCAAAATCATACAGCACCAAGTTCTGGACCCTTTGTTCAGAATATGTGAAAATCTGAGCTGGCGAAAGAGAAAGGGTGATTGTTCCTGGGTGTGTACTAGGGACTACATACACCATCAAAACCAAACCAGGTCTTCTCTTGACAGAGAGGGAAGCCAAAGCTTGTAACAATATGGTGGCTTTATTGTTTAGAGGGTGGAAGAGCTGACATCAGGACCCGGCACCAACCACTCTGCATTATTAGACCTTCCCTTTATTCATTCCTTCATTAGCCATGTTTGCTCACTGCATTCACACACATGAGCAAGGTCCAGGTGAGGGTCTCCAGACAGCAGTCCTGAGTGAGCTCTCAGTGCTGAGAATATGGTCAGGCACAGGTTATTTTGGTCTATGCACAGTACATTGGAGCATAAGCAGATGTGGTCTCCTCTGCTCAGATTTTCTCTTGCTTTGAAGATGCAGGCATTTTATGCATGTAACTGCATTTCATTTTATGGCCAAAATGGTTGACTGCAGAGGCAACTGAGGTGTTTCAGTGACTCACCCAGGACCTGAGATGCAGTGGAGGCCCAGCCCTCAGCCTTCTCCATTAGCACACCATTAACATACTTTCCTGCTTGCTTACTTCTCTCAGAAGCCTGGGGCTGGTGATACCCAAGGAGTCACCAGCATCTCCCTTTGCCTGCACACTGCTGCCTCTGTCTTGGGTGTTGGCTAGAGTATTGGTTTACTTCTTCATGGTTCTCTCTGACTCTGACATGGCCCTGGGGCCCTCTGTGGAATTCTCACAAACCTCCCATTTAGACTAGCTTTATCATGAAGTCATATGCATTTCAAACATGCATATACACAGATCCAGGTGTCTACATGCAGACAGGATACTAGTTTTATTTACTTGGGATGAGACAGAGCAAATTCCTCTGATCTTCTCTTTAGAGGGTGAGGTTGCCTTGATCTTTTTCTTTTCCACAATCAGTGGCAAGCTTCTCATGAGGCTGTGCTATGGTGGGGACATGAGCTGAAGGAGTGGCCCACAGTTGCACACCCAGAGGGTCTCTTGACCTCCAGCCTCCAGGCAGAAGTGAAACACACCCACCACCCTGCTGAGGGAGCATAACTTTTACCATTGCAGCTGCACCAGTGGTCTCACTTGAGCGTCCATCGCTGGCCTCAGGGTGCTGTTTTGAAAGAACAAAGCCAGGATTTAAACATCCTCTGGTTTCCCCACTGAGTCTGCAGCCTCATGGCAGACTGAATAATTCACAAGCTGAATTTAATAAGGCAGCTGTTGGGCACCACTTAAAAAATAGATGAGATGTTGCTCTAAGAATCTAGTCTTCTCCATCCCTCCATATGGAAGCATTTCCTTTCTCGTACCACATTTTTAAAATTAAGAAGTAATTTCCTATATTCATCACAGTAGGACTGGCCTCTTAGCCTTCTGTAGGCTGGGACTCTCCTGGTAGATGGGATGCTTCCTCTTCTCTCTGTCTGGGACTTTGGCTTGGTATGGTGTGCATGGGGGAGAGTCTTGTAATTATTCACAGGTCCTGAGAGGACTTCCCAGAGGAGGTGTCTGATACCAACCAAGCTGCTGCATCATGATAGCCTGGGAGTCCCTTCTGGCCTGGGTAAGAAGGATCAGTGGGTTAAGCTGTTTGCTGCCAAATTAATCTAGCAAATTCAATTCAGTCCTTGAGACCCACATGGTGAAAGAAGACAACTGAGTTTCACAAGCCCATGGTGGGTCTGCACACATGTGCATGTACACACATAATAAATGAAATGCAAACAAAAGTAATCTTTGCAAAGGCTCCTGCAAACAATGACCTCCTGGGCTCTTTGCTTATTTTTATTTCTCTGTGGCTTCCAGGATGTAAACTGTGCGTGAACACAGGCAAAGGTGAATTAGAAGTAAACTCTCAATCACACTTCTACGGTTTGTGTGGTGCTTTCATTTGGCTGAGAATTCCTTGGGAAACTTCGTTGGGAGTTTGCTTCAGGTGTCTCCTGCCTATTAGCCTAACTGTCAGGAAAAGACAGATCCTCAGAGATGGCCTTAGATTGTTTCTGGAGGTGAAGATTGAAACTGCCCAAACATCATTCTGTAATAACCAGGCATAGTCCTTTTAAATATAAGTAGAAAAGTGGATTCTGCAGCCAAATGTTTTTTGTTGTTGTCGTTGTTTTTTGTTTTTGTTTTGGTGTGTATCATTTTGGGGTTTGGGTGCTGGGCATGGAGCTCATGAGTACACACAAGCTCTCCCAGGCCATGATGAGTGTTTTCCATCATGCATTTTCCACCTCCAAACAAGGGCCATGGGAACAGCTTCCAATGCCTACAGTTCAAATGCTGCACTGACTGGTTATAACTATTCATTTGAAATACCTACAATCAAGCTGGAAGATAGTTTTAATGAGAAATATCTCTTTATTGTCCTTTGGTGTAGGAATACTCAGCCCACTGTGGGTGACACTGTTCCCTAGGCAGGGTGTCCTGAGCAGTGTGAGAGGAAGAAGCCAGCTGAGGGTAAGCAATTATCCATGTGTTTTCCTGTCTCTGTTGGGACCATGGATGTGCTCCTCTGCTTTAAGTTCCTGCCTTGACTTCCCTGCAATAACAGACCACACCTGGAGTTGTGAGCCAATGAAACCTTTCTTCCCAGTGCTGCTTTTAGTCAGGGTGTCTATCACAGTAACAGAAATGAAGCAAAGACAGATGCTCAGGGCATTACCCACACGGGGTCTCAGACCCTTTTCACACCACCATGTCCCTGGATGTCATCGCCAGTGCTACCCCTCTGTCCAGAACAGAGGTGAGACCAGAGAGCTGTGAAACCCTTCTTACATTCTGCTTTGGGAAATATCAGAGGGAGAGCAGCCTCAATTCACCCAGCACATAAGGCAAGAAATACCCTCTGTGACTGGAAGCCACTCATCTAAAACCGAGGACACTTTTTGGTCAAATTTGATTTCCTAAAGGATGAAAACATTAAATGTCTATGAAATTGAATTGTGTCTGAAATTGTCATTTGCCTGTACTTTGAAGAGGTTCTACAGATTGATACTGTATTTGGAGAGGGAGTATATGTATTTATGATTTGTTAATAATGATATTTATCTTTAATAAAAGTTTAATTATAAACTGT